AAGTGAGACTCTGTCTCCAAAAAAAGAATAAATAAATAAATAAATTCAACAGCACATTAAAAGAGTAATTCACCATGATAAAGAGGGTTTCTTCCCAAGGTTGCAAGGATAGTTCAATATACTCAAGTCAATAAATGTGATTCACCACATAAACATAATTAAAAATAAAAACCATATGATTATCTCAATAGATGCAGAAATAGCATTCAATAAACTCCAGCATCCATTTGATAAAAAAAAAAAACTCAGCATAGAAGAAACATGCCTCAAAATAATAAAGGCCATATATGACAAACCCACAGCCAACATTATACTGAATGAAGAAAAGTTGAAAGCATTCCCCCTGAGAATTAGAACAAGACAAGTGTGCCCATTTTCACGACTTCTATTCAACAAAGAACTCAAACAATTCAGAAGGAAAAAAAAAACATTAAAAAGTGGGCAAATGACATGAACAGGCATTTTTATTAAATGAGAAACAAAAGGGCAAAAAAATACATGACAAAATGTTCAACATCATTAATCACCAGAGAAATGCAAATTAAAACCACAGTGAGATATTATCTTACTCCAATTCCAGTGGCCATTATTAAAAAGTCAAAAACAATAGATGTTGACTTGACACCTGTAGCTCAAATGGCTAAGGCACCAGCCACATACACCAGAGCTGGCAGGTTTAAATCCAGCCCAGGCCTGCCAATGATAACTACAACCAAAAAATAGCCAGGTGTTGTGGCAGGCACCTGTAGTCCCAGCTACAGGGGAGGCTGAGGCAGGAGAATCGCTTAAGCCAGCAGTTAGAGGTTGCTATGAGCTGTGATACTACAGCACTCTACCCAGAGCGACAGCTTGAGGCTCTGTCTCAAAAAAAAAAAAAAAATAGATGTTGGTGCAGATATGGTCCAAAGGGAATGGTCATACACTATTGGTGGAAATGTAAACCAGTACAACCTAATACTCAGTCACATTTGACTTCTGCAATTATAAGAGGGGACTTATATTCATCTTTTGTTATCAGCATATATTATTACAATTTTAGTATAGTTTTTCCCTTTCTTAAAATGTGTATACATTTTTTGGCACCTCTGCATGTGTATATATATTTATACACACCACATAGTACTACTAAGCCATAAGAAAGAATGAAATACTATCTTTTTCAGTAATTTGGATGGAACTCCTAGGTGAAATAACTCAGGAACAGAAAAGTAAATGCTGTCTGCTCTCACAAGTGGGAGCTAAGCTGTGGGCTACATATTACAACACAGGATGGACCCTAGAGACTTAAAAGGGGAGAGGCTTAGAGGAGATAAGGGATGAAAAATTATCCATTGAATACAATATACACTATTTGGGTGATGGGTACACTCAAAGCCCAGACTTCACCTTTATACAATATATACCTATTTTTACTTTTCAACTTTTACCCCTACATCTATTAAAATAAACAAAAAAGAGGCAAAAAGAGAAAGAAAACAAGGCAAGAGCATGTAACTCTTTAATGCTCAAGAAAGAATACAGTTATGAAAAGATGTATCATAGCAATATATCATGTTGCTAAGCTGTGGACAATATATATAAACACAATGATGTAAGCACTGAATATTCATTTAATCAAAAACTTGTGCTATAATCATATTGAGAGGAGAACAGAAGTATAGGGAAAGACAAGTCTTCATCTTCAAGGAAATAAGTCAATAAATAATATCTAAAAAAGAAATTTAAGAATTTCCCTTTGAGTGTGTTATAGAGATAAACAACAAGAGAAATATATACAACAATAAAAAGTTAAAAATGATTGTCTCAGAGCTGGAGGAATCCATCAGGGAGGAATAAGGCAGGAGGTGGATGGTTGTTGCTTTTCTTTTTTAATTATAAGCTTTGAAGAATGCATTTTTTTAAATGGTGTACATAAGTCTGTCTTATAAAAACATAAAAAATAAATATTAAAACACCTTCATGCAAAAAGTGAAGCCAGTCTACTAGAAAACGTATGCCCCTGAATGGAAAAGCACTTGGATACAAAATTACAAATGCAGAACTGTAACAGGGAGATAGATGTGTGTGGAGAGCGGGCTGGGAGACTGGCAGAGCCCTCACAGCCTGGGGAACATTCGGAGAATAAACTCCCAACTGCTTCTACTCTGTTCCCAAAACAGCCATATTCCTTTCTTAATGCTTCCTCTGCCAGAAGTCACATAGCTCTTTCTTTGTCCAGTTAGCTATCAGAGACCCCTGTGATCTTTGCCTTCCTACTTCTTCTTTTTTTTTTTTT